TTGGGCTTGACCGGGTACTATCGTTGATTTATAAAGGGTTATGCTTCCATCGCTGCTCCCTTAACCAATTTGCTTAAAAAGTCTAATTTCCATTGGGATTCTCAAGCCAATCTTGCTTTTGATAACCTCAAGACAACTATCACCAAGGCTCTTGTATTGGCATTGCCGAACTACTCCAAAGCCATTCATATTGTCAACTGATGCATCAGGGACAAACATCAATGTTGTTCTTAGTCAATCCCAACACCCAATTGCTTTCTTGTCCAAGAAATTGTCACCACACATGCAGAAGCAATATGCCTATACGCAAGAATTTAATGTAGTCACTAAGGCTATAGCGAAATTTCGGCATTATTTACTTAGCCATAAGTTCGTCATACGCACCAATCAGAAAAGCTTAAAATGTCTCATGGAACAAACCATTCATACTCTAGAACAACAAGCTTGGCTACACAAGTTATTGGGGGTATGATTTTACCATTGAGTATAAGCTTGACAAGGAGAACCTAGCTGCATATGCTTTGTCTAGATCCTGTTTCATGGCTTTTTCTAGGCCTAAGTGGGATCTCATCACAAACCTACGTGATGCAGTTGTTTCATATTCACAACTCTTTGATATTATCAGACTTTGCAACGCAGGCAAACCCCCAAGTCCTTATTACTCCATTCATAATCAGTTATTGTTCTAGAAGAACAGACTGGTGGTACCAGCTCAACATCCCTTGATTACAAATATCTTACAGGAGTTCCATAGCTCTCCCATAGGTGGCCACTTGGGTATTGCGCGCACATCGGCTAAGGTTTCTTCTCAGTTTTACTGGCAAGATTTGCACAAGGATATTAAATCTTATGTACAACAATGTTTGATATGCTAACAAGCCAAATCCTCCACTACTTTGCCAGCGGGACTCTTACAGCCCTTCCCTATCCCCCACCAAATTTGGGAAGACTTGGCCATGGGTTTTATTCTTGGCCTTCCCCCATCACATGGTTTCTCTATGATTATGGTCGTCACTAATTGTCTCTCTAAGTATGCACATTTTTGCACGCTTAAGGCAGATTATTCAAGATAGCAAGTAGCTGAAGTTTTCATGCGATACATTGTGAAGTTGCACGAGATACCAAAATTCATAGTTTCCGACCGTGACAAAGTCTTTACAAGTAATGTTTGACAACAACTTTGTAAACTCAGTGGCACTTCATTAGCGATGAGCACCACCTACCATCCTCAATCTGATGGTCAATCTGAAGCTCTTAAGCGATGCTTGGAAATGTATTTAAGATGTTTCACCATTGATGACCCGAAAGGCTGGAGTAAGATGTTGTCATGGGCAGAATACTGGTATAATACTTCCTTCCAAACTAACATTGGCATGACACCCTTCAAAGAAGTTTATGGGAGAGACCCCCCTACTCTTCCTAATCATGTGAAGGATGCTACAGAACCCCCTTCTTTACAGGAAATGTTGATGTATCGTGATCACACACTACTCTGTCTCAAGCAAAAATTGGCAAAAGCGCAAAATCTAATGAAGAAATATGCGGACAATAAACGAGTTCATGTGGAGTTCCAAGTGGGAGACCTTGTGCTTGTGAAACTCCAACCTTATCGGCAACATTCAGTCACCCTTCGCAAAAACCAGAAACTTGGCCTTCGTTACTTTGGTCCCTTCCCAGTAATGCAACGAATTGGACTTGTTGCTTACAAATTATCATTGCCTCCCACATCAAAGATTCATCCAATTTTCCATGTGTCCTTATTTAATCCATTCAAAGGAGAAAATCAACAACCATATATGACCTTGCCTTTTATCACCGATGAACATGACCCTGTCATTCAACCGCTCAAGGTGTTACAATCCAAAGTCATCTTACGCGCAAATCAACATATACCTCAAGTATTGATCCAATGGGAAGGATTTGATATCTCCAGAGCTACTTGGGAAGATGTGAGTACTTTGCAAATGGAACATCCTAACTTCAACCTTGAGGACAAGGTTGATCTCCATGGAGAAAGCAATTTTATGAATGGCACGGGCAATGAGCAGGTGAAGAACGCAGAACCCAATGGACACATGGCAAAGAAGGAGAAAAACAAGAGCAACCGCAAAAGTGTCAAGAAAAGAATAACCAATTCTGCACTGAAGGATTTTTTGTGGAGCACTACGTGAGTATAAGAGAGGATATTGCTATAGAGGAGGGGGTAGAAGATTGGAATTGTCTCTTTCTCTCTCTTGACCCTTTTTAGGATATTCTCTAGCCATTCTGTTATTTTTGCTGTCAGCTTTTTGACTCTTTCATTTCAATTTCTGTGAAAGTTTCCATATTCCACACGACAATATAAGTTTTCTTCTTCCATCTATTTCATTCTTATGCATCAATATCAGCATTCCTAACATCACAATAATTTCTTAAATTTTAATTATATACGAGCTTATTTATATGGCTAAATTTTAGAGACATGATTTTCTGAGGATAGGTTTAACATAGTTTATGTAAATTAAATGATGAAAAAAGTCTTGGTTTTAAAGATATAAAAGGCAAGATGAAATTGAAGATTAGGCACCAAAAAGCAAGGGCTTTAGAAAGAAATTTTGGAATAAAAAATGTGAGGAAATAAAGAGACTTACGTTGAATATGTGAAGATAGTTGAATATGTGAAGATAGTTGAATATGTGAAGATAGTTAAATATGTGAAGCTAGTATAAGGAATACATGGTTTGAAGACATAATAGAAGGAAATGTAAGACAAGAAAATAACATATTATTTTGGATGTAGGAGTCTATAATAGCTCCTTCACACTTTCTACTACTTCTTTTCGTCTTATTTAAGGTCTCTTTCATAATATTTTTTAGTTTTCTTCAGTTAAATTCAAGCTGAGTGGTGAGTACCTGTAAAAGGCACTTTGACTCTCAAGTTAATAATTTATATCGATCGGTTGTCACATTTAAGTTTTAAATGTTCAATAAATGTAATCATCTACTTTCTTACCTTACCTTTGTATTTATAGGTTTCTAAATAAACTTTTGATTAGAGTCAACCCAATCACGAGCCAATAGTTCATAAGTATGTTTTGCCTTGTTAATCATGCTGGATTTATGAAGAGCAATTTACCTTATACTTACCGATTAGTCAGTTCCGTAACGAAGACCGACCAATTATATGAAACAAGGCCCCAAGCCTGTTTGGGCAGATGTTCGCAGTTGGGAGAAAGTTGACCGGTTGATCAACATAGAGGAGTATGTTGACCAACCGGTTATATGGTACACATACAATTCTAATAAGATATATAGGTTAAAGACAAACTACATGGCACATATATCCTAGATGGTATGCTAATTCAAATATGAAACATGTAACACTAAATAAGCATGCACAATGGAAGGATAATATGTGGAAATGAACCATTATTTTAAAAAAGAGTGGTTTAATTGAAAAAAGTCTCAAGCAAATTTATTGTTTGAAACAGTACTAGAAAATATTGATTGTTTTCGACATTCTACATCAATTTTTAGAATTGATGTAGATCTCACTGAGGTAAAAAATGAAAGACCTTTTACCTTAATTGATAACCATGTAAAAATTTTACATACTATGTTAATTGTGTATCCAACCAATGTAATATCTTCATTTTCTATATTGGTTGTAGGTCAATGCAATATCTCATCTTCCTATATGTAATATTATTTTTTTAAAATAGATGTTCAGAAGTTACATTTATTTGTTACTTTACTTTTTTACATTTCTCATACAAGACAAAATATAACAATATTTGTATTACATCAAACAATATAACATCATTATACAAATATTTGTAATCAAATATAAATTTTAAAATTATTTACTTAAGATAAAACATGTGATTTCGCGAGAAAAAATTGATAGAATTTTCACGATAAAGAGAAAAAGGAAGAGGTGCACTTCTTTATATAACATTGTCTATATAATGTTGTGAAGCCAAATTTATAAAAAAATTACTAACTTTTTTTTAAATATTAAAATCAAATTAAAAAAATCAAAATTTTACACTAGAGACAATAACAGAAGTATTATTAGTCAGGAAAAAGAAGACACTTGAATGAAAAATAAAAATGACAAAAGGTGTTCATATATGTTCATTGAATTTTGAGGAGTGAGAGCAATTTTATGGATATAATTTTTTTGCTTAACAAGTTTTGTTAAATAGTGTGATCACAAATAATAATCTAAGATATAACCTTATATAAGTGGTAGATGCCTTTGTGAGAAGAAAGAGGAAATTGTCGCTAAATGACAAAATTAATCTCATATTTTCAAAAATTGAGCAAAATGGAATAGTAAAGAAAAAAAAATGAACATATAAAACTAGCAACATATTCAAAAGATATAAAGTTAAATATAAAATTAAAAACAATTTTACCTAATTCAATAGTCAACTACAAAGATGGCATAAATATAACATAAAAGTTGGAATTATAGTCTTATAAACAAACTTGATGTATTATAAAGCCTAATTTGATTTGAGTGAGAAATTAGTATAAACATGTTATTAAAAAATCAATATATAATATGATGATTAAAACACTTCAAATACTTCCTTTATATATATATATATATATATATATATATATATATATATATAATATATATATATATATATATATATATATATATATATATATATATATAATAGGTTTTGAAGTCACACAAATAAAAGAAAAATAAAAACTGTTCATTTGAAGTTAAAAATCAAAATGGAATAATTAAAAATATAAAGAACCATAAATACTAACAACTAAATGTGAAGCTAAAAAAATTCAGTTGAGGTGCGAGTACATTGACCTTGGGGTGCAGGCGAGCGCAGAGAAGAGAAATCCCCGCCAACAAAGCGATTACACGTAATAGTCTGTTAATCTAGAGTGCGCAGCATAAGGTAGGATAGCGCAAAGGTGCACGTTATCTTTGCATCCGACATCACAATCTATCTGCTCGAAGAAATCGAACAAAATAAATGCAAAGTTTGATTGAGAAAAGGAAAAAAAAAAGAATAAAAAGACAAAAGAGAGAAAACCAGTTTGGAGCGTTGGTTAAAGGCTTTTCTCCTTTCGATTGAGATCAACCTCAACAACACCAACGCTGTTCGAATCCAACAAGCTACCCCTAAATCCACGTCCAATCTCACCGACCCATCTCCTTTCTATAGCATTCTTCACCGATCCACACTACCTAGGTCCCTTTCGCTCCTTCTTTCTCTGCTCATAATATCTTATTATTCGGCCTTTGATTCTTGATTTCGGAGTGTTATATCTATGCTTCTTTGTCATGGTGGTGTTAATGCAGGTGATTCTGCCGAAGTGGACGTAAATTTGCATGCACTCTGGTGGATAGCATAGAATACACACAGACACACACTCATATACATACATACGTGAGGTGTGAGAGTTAAGGTTGGGTGATCCATGACGATGAAGAGGCTGGTGAGAGTGAAGAGGGATGCGATTGCAGCATGCATGACTTGCCCGCTTTGCAACAAGTTCCTCAAGGAGGCCACTGCCATTTCTCTTTGCCTTCATACGTGTAATTAATCGCTTCCTTCTTAATCTCTTCTCAGTATCCCTTCTATTATTCCTTCCCTTTTGCCTTTTTATTCACTTGTCATCTCAATTTTCTCAAATTTTTATTCTTTCCGCGTTTTCCATTCATGGGGTTTGTCCCGGTTTCTGCGTTGTTCATTTGGGTTTGTTGCTTGTTATACTCAAGATGGGGAGTATTTGGTATTTGCTTAATTACAGATATGGGTGTTTTGTAAGTAAATACTTTTGAAAATTCTATTTTTACTGCTGTGAGTATACCCATGTTACACACCATTCAGAACGTGGTTGTTACACAATAGGAAGTTCTGTGCTTCGATTTGGCCCACTGTGTCAACAGCTAGTTTTTTCTTTTCCGTGATAGGAACTTTTCTTGCGTCTGTACTTTTCTGGTGTTTTTTTTTAGCTAATAAACTTTCTTGTTTTTTTTTAATGCCTATATATTTAGGAAAATCGTATCCAACTCTATAAACCATTCAACAATAGTCTTTCTTAATTTACTTGGCTTCATTTCTTATGTTGTTAATTGGGGAGGTTTATACGGTAAGTAACTATGCCTGATGGTTTTTCTCGATTCTCATGGACATTGTGATGTGAAATTTGTGTTTATTATGGATGCTTCATGGATGAAGGACAAACTGATCCCGTAGAATTTATGCAGTTTGCAGGAAGTGCATTTATGATAAAATTACAGATGAAGAATTGGAAAATTGTCCAGTATGCAACATTGATTTGGGCATTGTTCCGCTGGAGAAAATGAGGTCAGTCCCTTCAGATAATTGTGACTAATCCCTCTTTTGTTGTACTTTTTCTTCAAAAGGAAGTGGAGGGGGAGGGGGGGAGTAACTACAAAAATGGAAGGTGTTGATTTACCTTGTTCTATTGTTCCGGCAAGAGATTCTGTTCTGCATGTCAATTTTTGAAAGCTGCTAAAATAGAGATGCAAGATACACCGTTTCATTTAAAAATTTAATTTATTGTTGACGTGTCTAAATTTGCACTTAAAAGCTGTCTAATACTGCTAAGTTGCTCAAACATTATGGAAAGAAAAAGGAAACAATCATGCTGCAATCAGATCTTCCTCTAGGTTGGTATTACGTTGCAACATCACGCAAGAAAGAGAACTGTTGATGTGATGTGGTCATCACATAAAGTCATTCATTTCTTAATTTTTTTGGGAACTTGCTCCCGAAATCCACTTGTGGCATCATAATAACTCGTTGTAATGTTCATGCAAGTGAACTATGACATCCAAGGGAATAAAATACATTCATCTTGTTCATTATATATATATAAATTTATATATATATATATATATATATATATATATATTTATCATAATTCTGTCATATTTTTCAAAGTTGGTATTGATGAGATCAAAGTTGAGTGTCAAAGACAACAACTACTCCAATGACTCAGAAAACAATATACCTGTGAGCTTGTATATATCTCTATCAGAAACACACGCCAACAAAAAATTGTAATAACTTTGGACATTAATTCAGACTTCCGTATTCAAAATTATTCTCAATGGTAACAGTGTTACACTCTCGAGATCTTCATGATAGCTGCTCAAAACTCAAATGTCAAGTTCATCTTTGAATCAGTCTCCATTGACATTTTGAGGTCAAGAATTTGCATGGCCACCTTCTTCAATCATCATATCCATATATTCATGTCATGTGATTCATCAACATAATCAAACTTGTTGATTCCACAGGTCATTCCAATTTTATAAAGCCACGTGAAATGTGTGCACAGAGGGTACAAAGTTCTTGATTATCTATATAAGTTGTTGTGCACATAAAATCTCTTTCTGCAACATGAGGCACAGCAAATTGTTCTAGTGCAGACAATGTTGATTTCTTTAGAGGCTTTGGCAATGGCAGGAGCAAGTAGTATCCAAGTAGATGTGGAGGAATGGGAGCTCAGAGATTCTGAGCAGAATCCACCACCCCATTTGCTGGCTGAACATTACTGCAATGAAGAACATTTTCTGACCTTCACAGATCATCAAGAAAAGCTAGATACTTATGCGGAAAAGAGGAAGAGAAAATGCATCAGGTCAATAAAAGCAAAGCTGCGAGCACTTGTAACAGCATGCATGTTCATGTTGAGCGATGCATGCAATCGTGGTTCACGATAAGCGTGAAATTTTGTACAACATTGGCATTACATCTTGGTAGAGTTGTATCTTCATGATGATTTTGAATAAGTAGCAAGACAAACATTTTTTTTCTCTTAATATAACTATACTTGTGTAATCAATGGAATCAAGTCTTCCCTTATCTGATTTTTTGTCTCTCTACCCTTATCTAATTAAAAAAGAAGTCTCGTTTTAGATAGAGTAAAAATCGCAATTAGAGCGAAAATGTTATGTAATTTTTTATAATAATGCTATAAGTAAAAAGGAATGAATTAAATTATACTTAAAAAGGTTATTCAATTGAACTAAATTGAAATGTGTAATACTTTAGATAAATTGAGTTAAAGTGTAATATGATAATAGGGAATTGAAACACATCGAACTATTCTAAATTGTTTTTGAAGTACCTAACTTATTTGAATTTTATTTATAATATCATATTTTAGAGTAAATTTTACAATTTCATAAATTGTAATCTAGTTTACTTAAAAAAAACAATTTTAATTAATTCAATTCATTTTTTATTTTAATTTTTGAAGTAAATTTTTCTACATTACATACATATTCCAAAAGTACTATATATTTCGGGCTCTGCAACCTAAAATAAATTTCAGAACATGAAGGTGAAGCAATGGCATAGAATTATTAGAGTTTTGTGACGTATGACGTACTTGAATATTAGAGTTTTAGCAAATGCACACTAAACTAAAATAAAATTATGCCTATCTACTTGAAAAATCTGCTGCTGAACTATGAACATTGAGATTATTCAAAACACCAAAACGAGAAACAAGTTTTTGTGTCTTCTCTCATCTTAACGTTGTTTGCAAGTTTTCAAGTCCAAACGAAACACATCACTGTTTGACAAGCCGCAATATAATGTTGTAGTTGTTGGTACCCTGTAATGTAATGGGATAACAGCTGAGATCACACCAACAGATTTTTCTAATAAATTCCTTATCCGGAAACAAAAACAACAAGTTCCTTGAAACATCAAAATTTTACAACTATTTTCCCCCTTTCTTTACAGTTGGAAAACAAGAAAAATCACATTCCTAATCAAGCTTAACCTATCATAAAAGGATATATAGGTACAACATACAACATACATGTTTTAAATTTATAGATAATCTCATCTCCCACCAGACAATTCAATGGCATCTTGATTATAGACGGAATCTTCTCCCCAATCAAATCTTCTTTGTAATCTCTCGTATTCTTGTCTCCGATTGACCTCCACGTGCTGCCATTCCTCCCACCTTTCAGCCAACCCTTCTCCTTCAAGCATTCTTACCACCTCAGACATTGGTGGACGGTCCTCTGGTGTTGCTTGCGTACAGAGTAACGCAACCTGTATCATCATTTCTACCTCTAGTAGGTTGTAATTTTTATTTAGGTTGCGATCAACAATGGCGTCTAGTCGTTTTTCCCGTTCTAATTTTTTAACCTGTAGAACACAAAAATGCAGTAAAAACAGTAATCAGATAACCAACAAGTGCAAAGCAATAATGGTGCATTTCGGTTTTTGAATAATGATGACCACAAGCAACATGTACGCTACGGCAGAAGGCTAAACAAACACTGCAGTTCAGCTTTTCTTCATCAACATTATCATATAAATAACGCACACCAGCTTATTCCAATCTAAATCAAAATGTTTATGTACTATTATAGCTACACGAACTTCCTTGGCTCACTACAGCATTACTCATGTTAAGAGGGGTAATGATATACTCTTTAGGTAGAGCAACTATGACCGGTTGATTCTTGAACACAATCACTCACAAAATCACCCAAGAGTCACACAAAAGATATAAAGCATGCTAAACACAAACAAGAAACAAACCAAAAAGACAACAAATAAGGAGGCCATGATGTTAGAAAGTGATTTTACATGGTCAAGTAGCAGCACATCATCTTCCTCTTCTAATCTTGAAAAGTCAATTGCTCGTTGACCTGTAACGAGCTCCAAGAGCATAATCCCATAACCAAAAACATCAGTCCTTCCCGAAGACTTTCCAGTGGACAAATATTCTGGAGCTATGTGGCCCATCGTCCCACGAATTTCAGTTGTCACGTTGGTTTTCCGAACATCGACTAACTTTGCCAAGCCAAAATCACCAACAACAGCTTCAAAATCTTCATCTAGTAATACATTAGCTGCCTTCACATCCCGATGAATAATCTTAGGATTGCAATGCTCATGAAGATATTCTAAGCCTCGAGCTGTTCCCAGGGCCACTCGTTTTCTAGTAGGCCAGTCCAGAACAGGTTCACCAGGTTTGAGTTCTGCATCAGTATTTACTTGGTAAACCATAACTGGTAAAGATGCAAGATTTTACATATACACAACAAAATGTGGAAATCCAACCTACCCAAACACATTAAAGAAAGTATACAAAAATCATATTTAAATCTAAATCATTTAATCTCTTTTATTTATGGTTTTGATATCATGTAAAGGTTATAAAGCTCAATATTTAAAATAGCAGCAGTCAGATGGCAGTGTTAGTGATGAAACACCCATTGACACTTTTCATATCTTGTTTTATTTTGAAGTTCCTCACATAAAAGTAATTTATAAAAGTATTTTTTCTTTTGAACAGACCATACAGATAGAGTTAAACAGTCAAACCACGCTTGCATTCACAAAACAAGTGAAAACCAGCTAAAACAGGAGAAACAGATTGGTTTAGGAAATGTGTACCGCAAAACTAAAATTAGGACGTGGTTGGGTCAGAAGTCAAGTCAGGATAGAATAAATCCTAAAAATGGTTGGCATATATCCTCAATTGTGTACTTTAAATATTTTCACCCAGATATTTTCTCATAAGTTTAAAATGATAATATGACTGAAACAATATAAGAACTTATCGTGATGATACTCAACAATATGAAATCTGAATAGCCATACAACTCCAGTTACAGAAGTAAATAATACTTTCTTTTTTGTAGAAATTCAAATTGAATGCCTAGCATACCAGTGACGCCAAAAATGATTTATAAATTGTTACCTCGAAGACGATAGGCAACACTTAAGTTCTGCATAAAGGGATAAACCAAGAGGCGCTCAGTCGGGGTAGTACAAAACCCAATCAACCGTAACAGGTTCCTATGCACAGCTACACTTATCATCTCAACCTCACGCTGGAAAGCTGCATCTCCCCCAGGACTTTCATAATCAGTTAACCTTTTGACAGCAACTTTTGTGTTATCAGCAAGAACACCTTTATAAACCTTTCCAAAGCCTCCCTGTCCTAAAACATTCTTCTCACTGAAGTTGTCTGTAGCTATCTGTAATTCTCTCCATGCAAATCGTTTTAGCTGACCAAATGCAATTCGCCGATCAACTTCCCCTGATAAAAAAACAAAAATGATCAGAATATAGAATACACACACGGTATTTTATAGTTAGCATCAGAAATTTGTAATTTTTAAAAAGGGGAAATTTCACACCAACTCATTTTTAATGTAGCTACTACTCTATTTTAACAAGCATTCACAGTAAAAAGATTACAGAATAGATTCAACCAGTAAATTCTCTTCTATCATGCCATAATTTGATCATATCTCGCATTCACTTAACATGAAAGGTTTAGGGTCATAAAGATGGATGGATATATTCCAAAGTTTTAAGGACCATTTTGTTTGGGAGAAGCCTAATATGCAATAACATTGCAATCTAAATAAGAAACTCAAACCTGGAACATCTACAAAAACTTCACGCCTGTAACCCTTGTTTCTACCCTTGCACCAAAAGAACAGCAGACCACCAAGGAAAAGGATAACAACTAGCGCTGTAACAATTCCAACAACGAGGCCAGTTTTTGATTTATGTGATGAACCTGAGAAATGTAGACAAATTAGTATTCCGCTTGTAGAGAGGAGAGAGGAAGAGATAACACGCACATCAAAAGGATGGAATAAACTTTCAAATAAAGTAACCTTGGTCTGCATTATCAGATTCGCAAAGTCGATGACCACAATCCAAATTATTTCCAGTGAAACTGCAATAATGAGCACAATTAAAAGAGTAAAATGTAATGGTAAAAATTATGTTAAAAATGGCAAAGCATCTCATGCAC